AGAATAGGTGGAAAAAATAGGTATCACATTTTGTGACCTTAAATAGTCGGCTAATTTGTCGCATGAATTCCAATTTTGTTCAGCCTATTACCATGGTTACCTGAAAAAGAGGCAGCGCCTGAATCTGAGGTGACCTTTTAGCAAATTGGCACTTTTTTTGTATTTTTCTGACGGCTTTTAATTCGAATTTCATTACTTATGGGAAGGTGTGGTTGAGTAGTGTTTTTATTTCATAAGAAATATCGAAAAACGTTTAATTTTTTTAAATAATTTTTTATCTTTTCGTACATAAATAGTGGAGCGTCTCGTCGAATGCCACTGTGGTCACGATAGAAAAATGAAAGATTACATTGCTCTTCAATATATAACAAAGATAGAATACTAAGTAGTAATCATAATAAAAAACGAATTCAGAATAGCGACAGCAGTAATGACGGTACTAATAATAGTTATAATAATAGTAATAATGACAATACAGTAATAATAGCAGTGATAATAATGGTAATAATAATAGTAATAATAATAGCAATAATGGTGGCAATAACAACAGTAATAATAATAGTGATAATAACAGTGATAATAACGGTAATAATAAAAGAAATAACATTAGTAATAATAATAGTAATAATAATAACAACAGTAGTAATAGTAATAATAATAGTAATGAAATGTTGATTATAGTGGTGACAGTGATGACGGTAATAATAGTAATGATAGTAATAGTAACAGTGATAATTTGTTCAGTAACCACAGAATTCTCAAAGGTGACACCTTTAAGTCAGGGGACCATTTCTTCAGTACCACTGTGTTAAAAGTAGTGACAAACGGATGCGAAAGTGTGCTCACTAACAAAAGAAGCTGAAGCCATATTGCACAGTTATGAATTTTGATTTTCACTGACCATAATTTTGGGGGTTTTTTTTTTTCAGTTTATTTGGTTAGAAGAGCACTTTACAACACGACATGCTGGTAAAGCTCAGCCATACATGTGCCTAATTGAGGGTTGTACGTTACGATTCACACTGAAGCGTGCGCTGGAGGAACACCTGAGAACGGGACATGAAAAAGCAAAAGGTTTACTGCCTTTTGAAAATCAATTTTTCCAATATTTTAAGCATATTTGTTTCTCTTCTTATTACCCTAAAAAGTACTTTTTTTTTTTTTAATTCTGTGATTTTTTTTTTTTTTTAATATTTTAACCAACTGCATTGCTGGCGTTTTCTTTCTATGAATAATTTCAAATATGTTTGAATGCAGCCTATATTTTATCCCTTAGCTGTAAACACAAACCGAACGCAGCATGCGAGTAGAAATGGAATTAAAAAAGAAATTGTTTCTTATTTTTTATGACTGATTTTTTTTTTTTTTTGCAGCTAAACGAGCTCATATGGGTGGGCGAGAATTGTTGCGACGAAGGCCTTGCTTACGATGGACGCCGATGCCATACTATCCATCAAGTAATTTTTCATTTTCATCATTTTGGCGTCATTCTCAATGAGAGGCGAAGGCACTGGGAAATATTCCGAGGGCAGTAGATGTCGGGAGCAACCATCCACTGGGAGGGCTCTCGATGACTCCCTAATTCAGGGATTGCTTATAAGCAAGATTGGATTTTCTTATCATGATAGGGGATTTAATTTTTTCGCAAATATTGGTACCAATTTTTCATCGAAACAAATGAACAAATCGTAGAGGGACTGGTTATCTCACTGATGGGAATCGAATTTTTGTTTCTGCACTACAGCAGCATTACTTTCCATTGCGCCGTCAGCGTGAGATATTGAAGGATTTTCGGTTTTTGGGAAAAGCAATTGAGAAAAAATGGCAGAAACTTCGCTTAAGTGAAGATTTCGATAAAAATTAGTGGACATAATCTCTAAATTCTGAAGTTTTGATCTTACTAGCATGCACTCATGCGCGGGTGCAACTGGAACAGATTTTTTAATTTCGAAAATTAGCCTAATTATTTTTGCGACCGCTTTGAAGTGTTTTCCACAAATTTAGCCGCTGAAAGCGATTTCATGGATCGTTCTGTGGATGAGTGGATTGTGATGCGCTTGAGGCAGTACGAAAGGACGAATAATCCCAGTTTTGTGGTGCGTGAACCGGCAACTCCTCGTATTAGTGGTGCAGCGCATCGTAAAAGACGTCGAATACTAACGTTTGCCATCGAATCCGATCATATCGCTCCAGAAGTAAGAAAATTTAAGAACAGAGCTAATTGGATCTAAATATCGATGTGTTTCATCCCTTAGCTGTAAATTTTCTGTCTCAGTCTTGGTCAGCTTCCGTCCGGAGAATCGCTGAGCTGGCAGTTTCTTTAGGAGGAATTGCGAAACAAGCGATATAGCATAAGTCGAATCAACTGAATACTTGTAGGACGACACTAAGAACTGCAATATACTTTTATAAGCCTAAAATTTTACATTTTCAGATCGTTTCGGAAAGTATGGATTTGGCGGATACGAAAGCACATTGTACAGGTGTTTTTATTGGTAGCGAAGAATGCAGGATATCTAACGGAACAGCAGGTCCGATTGTTAAATGATCAAATGGATTGAGCAGAATTGCGACGAATGAAATCGCTCAGGTTCAGCAGCTTCTCAGTGCCAGTTATTCTTCTTTTTTACTGGGCTGTTTTTTTTTTTTTGACGATGATTTCGAAGCATATTTTGAGGGAAAAATTGAGTTCCTGAAAAAACAGTGCATGCCAGACATGAACATATTCAACATTTTCCTCCCTCCTTTTCTCCTTCTCGCCCACCATCCTTCCCACTTTACCTTTTCCTTCTTCCCCCGTACTTGGCTAAAAAAAAATCAAAAAATTGACTGGCTAAAATTCATTATGAGTTCCGCGGTTTTTGAATATTTTTTTAATAAAATATGCATTTAAACATCGTAAATGAATGGGTCCCCGGCAAACGGTTATACAGTTATTTCGCTGTCATACTGCAAACACTGATTTTTGATTATACTGGATGGATAGGATGTTCAAATTGCAGCGTTAGAATTCGTGATTTGGAGGAAGGGATTACCTGATTCCCTGATCAGCTTCAGGTTAGATAATCGGTGAAGCTGCATTTCATTCATTCCGGTAGCTTTGAGGAATACGGGTGTATGATTAAGTCCGTAACCAGTAGCTCAAATCTTAGCTTGAGTTTGAGGCGAAGTTTTGCAGTCCGAATAAAAAATAGGCTTGGTAGGTTTCGCAGACAATTCAAAATTTCCGAAACTCCTGTTGCTCTGTGGGGGCTGGGTTTTTGGGACATCTTAAGTATAAAGGTTGACTTGTGTGTTTTGAAAATTTAAATGTGTTCAAAAGAACACAGCGAAAATTTTATACATTTGATGTGATTTTTTGTGGAAAAACATTATTGTGTTAGAAATCGGAGGGAGGGAGGGGGGGAGGGGAGGCGGTGGTAGCAGAGAATTTGTTTCCTAACTGGGACTTTGATGGCAGTACAAAAGGCAGAAGAAAGGAAAGGAGGAGAGAGGGCGGGGGAGGGAGTGGAGGACACACACGGGCATTTTCAGCCACGCAATTTAGTGTTTCATCCTCACGTCTGTCCACGTAAAATCACGTAATCTTCGTGGAGTTATTCATTCATTATGCGGAACATTCAAACAAGTTCACTCATTACTGCTAGCAAACTATAGCACGGGGCCTTTTTGAGGAGTAGATAAGTTTATAAGCTTATGTATAATCATAAAAAAATGGAAATTGATAATAGCGAGGTTAAAAAGAAGTTGCTTTTTTCGTGAAAATTTAGCAACTACTATATTACTCTTATCACTGTTGTCGTTATTATTATTATTATTATTATTATTATTATTATTATTATTATTATTTTTATTGCTGTTTTTATTGCTGTCACCATTATCATTTATTATTATTACTTTTAAGATTTATGCTATTATCGTTCGTTAGCACCTGCATAAGGAAAAATTTGCTTTGGACTTTAAACTGCTAATTGGCATGAATTTGATAACTGGCCATTTTTGGATCGTTGGTTTTTTTTTCTCCCTCACTTTCCCCTCGCTTCGTTCATCTCCTCACATTTGTTGTTTGTTGTTGTTGTCGTTGTTGTTTCTTTTTTTGTTGGTCAGTAATGGGACTAAGTTTGTGTTCTTTAATCGTCCTTATTTTGCACTTTCTTTCACAGATGCCGGCTTCTTTCCAAAAAAAAAAAGTAAAACCATCTGTTTTTCTCCACACAAAATGTTCTTTCCTTAGGCAATTATTCG